CGTCATTGAACTACAGTCTGGGCAGTGGAGTGAGACTATGTCTCTTAAAAGAAAAAAAAAAAAAAAACCAGAGATTTAAAAAGAGAGGAAAAGATAAAAAATGAGTAAGGGAACCGAATATACATTTTCACTGAAGTTTTTAAAGCCTTGAATGTATTTTGGAACAAATGCTTTTATCGTATGCAATCATTTTTTTGTAAATGATTTTTTATAAAGCCATCAAATATAGGTTAGAGTGATTTTTCACCTGAGTATATGACAGAAAAAATGTTTGAATCATTGTTAGTTACCTGTACTGGCAGTATTAATCTGGAAGAAAGGGGTTGCATAGAGAATAGTAAGAGCAAGGCCATTGAGTCTGTACTCTCACGTAGGGCTTGGTCATTTCCCACAATAAATGCATTCATTGGCAGGATTTCCCACCAAGCTGGTATAGAGTATATGCTATTTGATAAAAGATAGCAATAATAAAGTTAATTATTTTTTTTTCTCTTTGGCATTTGGTTTAAGAGAAAAATCCTGAAGCTTGTAGGGATTTCTGATGCCAGGAAATCATGAAACCTGAGTGTATATTTAGCAATCAGGGTGACTTAGCTCATGGTAATTGGCATATGTATAGTTATAATTTGCATTCCAGTTATTTAAACTGAGATATTCTTGATCAGGCTGAACATACTGTGAGTAGAAGATCACTTTCCCCAAGAAATAAGATAGAGTCTTTGGAGGATGGCCTTGGTAAATTGTTGAGTCAGCTCCCTCTGGATTTTGGTGATTTCTCCAGTTCTTCCGTAATTCCTCAGGGCCCTGGCCATTTTCTGAGTAAGTCATGGGGTTCCGGTTGACTTCACTTTTCCCCTAAAGGTCAGGTTTTTATTTTTCAATACAAATGGAAAGATGTCTTTGGTTTTATCTACCCCTGGATACAAGATGCCATCTTGGCATTACGTGGGGATTTGTGAAGGTGTTCAAACGGTCAGAGCTTCTTCCTGCTGTTATTATACATAGGTTAGTCTGTGGGCAGCACTCCTTAGCAGATGGAATGTCCTCTGACATGAGGACAGTGGTTGATGAAAGCCAGATAATTTTTGTCATCAGGGGAGGACTGAAGATCAGTTGAATGCTATCTCCATACCTCAAAAGCACCTTCAAATGCTTTACCCAGCTTGTCTTGTTCAACACAAATTGTGCTTCATTGAATGGATGATTCTGCCCATCAGTGTCCAATGTAGCATCCGCTTGTGCAAGGTGGACATAACCTCATGTCCTCATGCTGTGCAGTGCTTTAAAGATGAGATTAGCGTTTATTATCAGTAGACTCTGAATATAGCTGACGACCCTCCATGTGTGGGTAGGTGGGCCTCATCCAATCAGTGGAAGGCCTTGAGAGAAAGCAGACTGCAATCTGCTTCCAGACCCCTTGGATTGGAGCTGCCATGTCAACTCTTCTCTGGGTCTCCAGCAGAATTTGGACTTGCCAGCCTCCACCATTGGATGAAACAATTCTTTAAAATAAATCTCTCTCTTGTTCTGTTTTTCTAGAGAACTCTGACTGATATAGAGGGTAAATCTACTTGTTTTGGGGTTTTGCAGTGGATTTGACACCAAAAGCACAGGCACAAAAAGATAAAAAGAGAAACTGGACTTCATCAATGTTCAAAATCGTTATGCACCAAAGGACATTATATGGAAAATGAAAAGACAACCTAACGAGTATTTGCAAATCGTGTCTGATGAAGATTTAGGGTCCGGAAAATATAAAGAGCCCTCACAACTCAACAACAAGTTGACAAACAACCCAATTTAAAAATGAGGAAAGACTTGAACAGCCAATTCTCCAAAGAATATGTATAAATGGCACACAGGCACATGGAAACATGCTCCACATCATTGACTGTTAAGGAAACGCAAATCAAAACCACGATGAGATGCCACTTCACACCCACCAGGATGGCTGCAGTCAGAAAAATGGAGCAGATCACGTGCTGAGAGTGTGGAGGAGTAAGAGCCCTTGGATTGCTGGTGGGAGCGTGAAATGCTGTAGCTGCCATGGAAAACAGTTCGGTGGTGCCTTAAAAAGTTAGACCTAGACCTATATGATCCATATGGACATCCCACATACCCTGCTGGGCGTTCACCAAGAGTAATGAAAACATGCGTCCTCGAACAAACCTATACATGAATGTTTGTGGCGGAATTCTTCATAACAGCCCAAAGGCAGAAACAATCCAGGTGTCTGCCGTGGATGAATGAAGAATTATACACGCGGGAACACTTGCCATGTGCCACAACATGACCAGCCTTGAAAACGCAGTGCAAGGTGAAAACAGATCACAAAGGTCATGTATTACGTTATTGCATTTATGTGAAAAACCCAGAGTAGGCCAATTCATAGAGACAGAAAGCAGATGAGAGATGGCCAGTGTCTGGGGCAAGGACGTCGGTGGTGATTACTAAAGGTGTGTCTCCTGGGGTGATAAAAACGTTTTGAAATGACAGGTGATGGGTGCACAGCACTGTGAATGCAGAAAATGCCTCAGAATCGTGCCCTTTAAAACAGTTCATTGTTGTTATATGAATTTCTTTGAAAAAAGAAAACGGGCCAGGCACAGTGGCTCACACTGTAATCCCAGCACTTTGGGAGGCTGAGGCAGGTGAATCATGAGGTCAGGAGATCGAGACCATCCTGGCTAACACAGTGCAACCCCATCTCTACTAAAAAAATTAGCCGGGCATGGTGGCACGTACTTGTAATCACCTGCTCACCTTAACTGGACCTGGGCCAAAGCCCTCAAGATGCCCTCATGATGCCCCTGGCTGTACTGAGACCCCAGGATCCCACCACCTGCCTGCCAGGCTCACCTGTGGGTGCTGCCTTACCTCTGTTCATGGCAGCATGGACACAGGCCTGAGTGGCCCGTGAGGGCGAGATGCCTGGATCCCCCAGCTCTGTGGGGCTGTAGCCACGGGCAGCAGCTGCATTGGGCCCCCTGTTCCCGGTAATAGCTCATTCCCAGGCCTCATTCTGAGGCCCCTCAGCTGGATTCCTGCAAGTGCTGGGCCAGGTGCAGAGACAGATGCTGAGCCTCCAGGGCTGCTCCCCCCACCCTCACACCTCCAGCCCCCATGCTCCATTATTTCAGCACCTGGGTCTGAGCTCCTGTCCCACAGGTGTCTTATCGGTAGTTCAGGCAACTGCAGAGCCACCGAGCAGCAGGGCTCAGCCCCTGTGGAGGGCACGGTGCCCTGCATCCAGCATGAGAAAGCCAACAGAGCTGGACGCAGGGATACGGCCCACGGGGTCCTTGGGTCCCCCCCAGCCCCCTGGAGGACATGGCGCAGCAGCCTCAGGGTCTGAGCTTCCTGACCAGCTGCTCTCCTGGGCCTGCCTCATCCCCCAATCCTGCTGACTGCCCTGGGGGGCAGCTGGATCCTCCCTCGGCCACGCTGCTGCCCTGTGCAGGCAGAGCAAGGTTTCCAGAGGGGCAGACGCTGTGTACATGGGTCATCGAGGGGCTGAGGCCTGTGCACAGCAGGGGAGGGAGCTCTGCTGGGTTTGGGGGCAGCTTCCCTGAGGCCAGGATGCTGGAGTCAGGCGCTTGCCCCTTCCCTGCTCTGCTTTACTCTGCCTTTGTCCCGAGACTGCCTGATTCGAAGTTAAGGTTCTGTTTGTTCAATTGTCCCCTGAATATTGTTCATTTGATCATGACGGGCAGCTCGTGTAAAAGCCACAAAGGAGACCAAACAGAATGGAGGCCTGGCTGTGCTGTCCCCTCACCCACAGGTGGTCAGGACACAGCCCCCTGTCCGGCTGGGCTGGCCACTCCCCAGGGCCTGGGGCCACTGTGCCCTGCACATTCTTTTCCTGTGCCTTTCAAAGCTTGCTTTCTGCACACGAAACCTAGCCATTTTTAGGGAGAAACATTCCCTTTGTTCGATTCTGTTTATCAGTCTTTCTCACTGAGCTGGGTGTGGTAGACAAGGAGACTCCCTGAGCTGCCGGGGACTTCGTGTTGGATGGTGTTGGCCGGACCTGACCCTGGTATCACTTCTGCTGAAAGAGACAGGCCGGTGGTGCTCCATATATGCAGACAAGCCCATGTGGCCCTCGTCTGTGCTCTGATGAGGATGAACAGGATGATGATGATGAGGGACAGGTGATGAATTCGTGGGCAGATGCTCCCCGGGCACCTGAGACATGGTCTGGTCCCAGGAGACCCAGGAGGAGGCACCCAGAGAAGGTCCTCTGGGATGGAGAGAGGGGCTGAGACAGATGATCAAGGCATGCTCTGAGCAGGGCAGGGCTGGACGGTGGGAAGAAAGGAGTGGGGGCCACTGAAGGTGGTGTCTGGGAGGCTTGTCCTTCAACAGGCCGTGAGCTGTCCCTCTGGGGTAGGGACAGTGAGGAAAGCCAGCCTTGGCCACATGGGGCCCCAGTTGGGGAGCTTCTTGGGGCATGGTGGACACCCATGCGGGAGGTGGGTCCTGTGTGAGGGTGACAGGGAGGCTGCTTTGGTCTTGTGGGGTGGTGGGGTGGTGGCCAGGCTGCAGGAGGGGAACCCGTGCGGGGCCTCAGCTCGCACGTCGAGCTGGTTTTGCTTTTGGAGAAGATGGTTCCAGGTCTAATTCTCATAAGACTCTGCAGATAAATTTAACCACAAATCTAGTTTTTTTTGCTTGCAAGAAGGTAGATTTTGATAACAACCCTGGAGGCTAATTTATCTGATTACAGCGCTGATGTGTACAAATATGCTTTTATGATGACTTTATGACCCTCCAATGATCACAAGCTCATCAACTGCCAAAGAGGATGAAGTTTGGGTAATAATTTTCATTGCTTTTTTCTAAACTTACTTACAACGCAATCACATGAGGCAAAGCCTGAGGCAGCGGCCGTGCCGGGACAGTGATGCCGCCTCGGTTCTGCAGGTGTCTAAGTTGGGCGTCTGCAGTGCCCAGGGGGCCGCAGGGCCTGACATCTGGCTTTTGTGTCTCAAATGCAGTGGCCTCGTGGTCTACGCGGACGGCCCCCTGAACCTGGACCGCAAGGTGGAAGACATGTCCGAGCTGTTCCGGCCCTTCCACACGCTGCTGCGGAAAATAAGGTGGGGATGGCGGGGAGGGGAGGGGAGGGCACAGGTGGGTGCTGAAGTCATGTGTAGCCGCCTCCGGGTACTCCTCCTCTCTGTAAGGAAGGGTGAGCAGGTTAATATTCCTGGGGGCACAAGTGGCCCCATGGGGGTCACAGAGGCCTTGCTTTTGCCTCTGTTTGGGCATCGCATAGGGTGGGCACTCTCTTGGTCTGAGCTGGGGAAGTAAGCCTCACACTTCCTGACATGGTACAGCAGCAGCTAACTGTCCCCACCGTCTCCATCATCCCCGCTGCCCCCGCTGTCCCCACGTCCCCCACCCTTCCTGCCACCCCCTTATTCCCAGCACCCCCATCACCCCCACCGTGCCCACCATCTCCACCGTCCCCGAAGTGCTCGCATGTGTTGGCGTCAGGACGCTCCACCTGTGCCCTTTGTCTTTAGTTACTGGTTTACGTCTGTGTCTGCATGGGGGGCCCCTTTTAAAACACAACGCCTTCCCTTCACATGGGCCAAGGGCTTTCCTGGGTGGCCTCTCTGAGCCGACAGAGCTGAGCAGGGGCCTCCTGGAGGGACAGGAGAAGGAGGCTGAAGCAGGAGAATTGCTTGAACCTGGGAGGTGGAGGTTGCAGTGAGTGGAGATTGCCCCATTGCACTCCAGCCTGGGAGACAAGAGGGAAACTTCGTCTCAAAAAAAAAGAAAGGCAGCCTTCAGCTCAGGATTTTGTGCCACCCTGGAAGAGTAAGCTGGAAAGAGGCATCTGGGTAGAGCCCTTAAGAAGGAACCTGCAAAAAACACGATGAAATTTGGTGAGTGGATATTTTAATACATGTCTGCTGTGAAATACAGGCAGATATAACCAGCCAACTGCACATCTTTTTAAAAGCTGGGCAAAACTACCGCTTTGGGATGGACAGGAGGCCCCGGCTGCACTGGGCCCATTCTCCAGCTGTGACAAGCACAAAAACCTGGACACATTTGGAAGATCCTGTTTTGAAAGGTACCTGAGCTGTGGAAGTGACGATTGGGTGAACTAAAACCCTGGCTAGAGGAGCCTTTTGGAGGTGAGGTGCAGTCTACTTGGATATTTTTTTCCCAGGAAGATTTGACGATTCCAGGCTTGTCCAGAGCCCCGGCTTCCCGGGCAGAGAAGCTCTGCTGGAGAAAGAGCATCCAATCGCAAGGTCTGGTGGAACAGGCCGGCAGCTTGGGGGCATCCAAGCAACACACCTGCCGGTCTAGTCCAGGAAAGCAGGAAATCCAGGCAGAAAGCCCACAACAGCAGACTTCCTGCACTTCCCAGGTGCTTAGGAACAAAAGCATGCCTTGAGGCTGGGTGTGGTGGCTCACACCTGTAATCCCAGCACTTTGGGAGGCCCAGGCGGACAGATCACCTGAGGTCAGGAGTTCGAGACCAGGCTGGGCAACATGGTGAAACCCCATCTCTACTAAAAATACAAAAATTAACTGGGTATGGTGGTGGACGCCTGTAATCCCAGCTATTTGGGAAGCCAAATCACAAGAATCACTTGAACCCAGGAGGCGGAGGTTGCAGTGGACCAAGATCGTACCACTGCACTCCAGCCTGGACAACAGGAAAGACTCCGTCTCAGAAAAAAAGCATGCCAGAGACATATGCCAGATTTTGAAGTTTGTGCGACTAGAGGCTGGGCTGGAACTTGGAAGGAGTTTAAGACGGAGAGCCCAGCTGGCTCAGAGCTGCAGTAACCAGACTGAAGCACAGCCAGGCCTCAGCCAGCCGAGTTTTCAAAGGGAATGCAACAATGGGCTCCATGCAGTCAGCCTAACAGAGAAGGGGCAGTCCCCTCTGGTTGAAAAAGTGCCATCTGTAACCTCTATGATTCTTTTATATCCAGTGTCTGTCATACAAAAAAACTCAAAATTGCTTAACATATTGGCCAGGCACAGTGGCTCATTCCTGTAATCCCAGCATTTTGGGAGGCTGAGGCCAGAGAATCACTTGAACCCAGGAGGCGGAGGTTGCAGTGGACCAAGATCGTGGCACTGTACTTTAGCCTGGGTGACAGAGTGAGACTCTGTCTTAAAAAAAAAAAAAAAAAAAAAAAAGTAAAGAGACAAGAAAATACATCTTCTGCTAGTTTAGAGAAGAGCCAGAAACTGGATGCAGACAGCTGACGATCCAGATACTACACCCAAGGACTTGAATGCAATTCTGATTACTTGATTAATAAAGAAAATAGAAGGGGGCAAGTTAGATAATTGGGTGGGTGATGTAACAGAGGATGGGAATCTACACAGAGAGACAACGAAGCGTTGGCATGCACCTGTAGTCCCAGCTGCTCCGGAGGCTGAGACAAGAGGATCACTTGAGCCCAGGAGTTCTAAGCCCTAGTGCGCTAGGCTGATCAGGTGTCTGCATGAAACTTTGGCATCAATACGGTGACCTCCTGGAGCAGGGAACCACCGGGTTGCCTAAGGAGTGGTGAACTGGCCCAGGTCAGAAATGGAGCAGGTCAAACCTCCCGTGCTGATCAATAGTGGGACTGCACATTACAATACAGTGTGAATAGCTGCTGCACTCCAGCCAGGACAACATAACAAGACACCACCTCTAAAGAAAAAGAAAGAGGGGAAGGAAAGAAAGGAAGGAAGAAAGAGATGACATTCTAAAGCTGAGAAAATTCACGATTTGTCAATAAGGACACAGTAGATGGGTTTAATAGCAGATTAGACCCTGCAGAATACAGAGTAGTCAACTTCAGGGTAGCTCAATAGAAGAGACCCAAAGTAAAGCTCAGACAGGAAAAAAGAGGGGAAAAAACACAAGAAACAACAACAGAAAACCAGAAGACAGCATCAGAGATGTGTAACAAACTCAAAAGGTCTAACATACATAATTAGAGTCCCCGAAAGAATAGAGAGAAGGGGCAGAAGCAATATCCAAAGAAGTCATGGCTAAACATTTCTCCAAATTCCAAAAGATGAAAAATCTCTGGCCACAGATTCAGCAAGAAAACTGCAAACAAAAAAACCACAAACATACCTGGGTATATATCATAGTGAAATTGCCAAAAACAAAGACAAAAAAATTGACAAGTAGGAAGAGAAAAAAGATATACTACTTTGAAACAAACATAAGAGGGATAGCTGTCTTCTCACCAAACAAACAAAAACAATGGAAGCCAGCAGGCAGGGAAATGATGTATATTTAAACTGCTGAAGAAGGTCAGGTGCAGTGGCTCATGCCTGTAATGCCAGCATTTTGGGAGTCTGAAGCAGGCGAATCACTTGAGGCCAGGAGTTCAAGACCAGCCTGGCCAACATGGTGAAACCTCGTCTCTACCAAAAATTCAAAAATTAGCCAGGCATGGTGGTGCATCCCTGTAATCCCAGCTGAGACATGAGGATCCCTTGAACCTGGGAGGCAGAGTTTGCAGTGAGCAGAGATCACAGCACTGCTCTTCAGCCTGGGCAACAGAGTAAGACTTTGTCTCAAAAAAAAAAAAAAAAAAAAAAAAAACTGCTAAAGGAAAGTAACTGCCAACCAGAATTTTATAACCAGCAATAATATCCTTCAAAAATGAAGGTGATATTTTGCCTTCATGAATTATTCCAAAACACAGAGTTGAAGGAATTTGTTATCAGCAGTCCGCACATAAAACAATTGGAGTTCTTAAAAAAAAAAATCTATCAGACGGAAATGTAGAAATGCCAGAGAGGGAGGCGTGGTGGCTCATGTCTGTAATTCCAGTACTTCGGGAGGCCAAGGCAGGAGGATCCCTTGACCTTAGGAGTTTGAGACCAGCCTGAACAACATACTGAGGCTGCCTCGCTACTGAAAAAAAAAGAAAAAATTAGCTGGCATGGTGGCATGCCTGTAGTTCCATCTTACTCAGGAGGCTAAGGTGGGAGGATCATTTGAGCCCAGAAGTTTGAGATTGCGGTGAGCTATGATTGTGCCACTGTACTGCAGCTTGGGCGACTGTGAGGCCCTGTCTTAAAAAAATTAATGCAAGAGAGACAGAAGAACATGGTGTGGATTAATGTAAGTGGATATTGACCGTACAGGACAATCGTAGCGTCTGTGGAGTTTGTACATCGTACTCAAATTCATGACACAAGCAGCAGAAAAGACAGGAAGGGGTAAACGGAATTTTAAAGTTGTATTGGAAATGTGATTGAATCAATTGTTTATATTAGAATGTGATCAATCAAGGATTTCTATTATAATATTAAGATAAACTAAAATAGTAAAGGTGAATAACTAGCAAATTCATAGAAGAAAAAACATCCAAAATAAGGTACGAACAGAGAAAAAGAGCACACAACAAATGAACCAAATAGATTTGTATAGTTTCCAATTCTGTTTAAATTCTTCACCCTTTATGTAATTTGGCCTCTTCAGTTTTCTTTAACATATTAAAAACAACAGTAAAAAACTTAGCTGGGCACTGTGGCACACACCTGTAGTCCCAGCTACCTGGGAGGCTGAGGTAGGGGATTGCTTGAACCCAGGAGTTTGAGGGTGCAGTGATCCTGCCACTATACTCCAGCCTGGGCAACAGAGTAAGACCTCATCTCTAAAAAAAAAAAAACAAACCCAAAAAGGAAAATTAAGTTGAAGCCTAAGCAGTGCTTTGAAGGAAATTTATACCACTAAATGCTATAAATCAGAATAAAGGATGAAATTCAATGATGTAAAATTTTATCTAAAGAAGCTAGGAAATAATAAGTTTATCATACCTCAAGAAAGCAGAAGGAAAGTCATATTAAAAATAAGAACAGATGTCAGTGAAATGCAAAACAAATGTATAGTAGGGAGAAGACAAACCCATAAGTTAGTGGATTTTTGTTTTGTTTTGTTTTGTTTTTTTGAGATGAAGTCTAGCTCTGTTGCCCAGGCTGGAGTGCAGTGGTGCAATCTTGGCTCACTGCAGCCTCTGTCTCCCATGTTCCAGTGATTCTCCTGCCCCAGCCTCCCAAGTAGCTGGGATTATAGGTGCCCGCCACCACACCCAGCTAATTTTTTTTG